GGGAGGAGAGGGGAGGGGAGGGGAGGGGAGGAAGGAAAGATGAATAGTCTAGGATTGGGGTTCACAATTCGATTTTCTGTAGAAAAAGAGAATTCAGTGCACTCTTCCGAGAGATGCCTGCTTCTACCCACACACCCCCAAGCCAGAGCACCACAGGCACCAGTTTTCAAGGCAACCTGCAACCATCATGTCACTGTTTATGTTTGCTCACACTGTCTGCTCCAAGCCAGGGGTGTGCCCCACCCCATGTCCTTGTCTGCACTGCACGCGGGACATGGGAGGCCCGGCCCCCTCCTTCCTGCCTAACCTGATGACAGGCTTTCCAGAGATGGCTTCTTCCAGTGCAGGACACCCTCTCTGCTTAGCCTGGGAAAGCTCTGTTGGCAGGACACCCGCCATCAGGCCACACTGTCTGAATCTCTTGGCAGAGCTCTGGTTTTGTGGCCATGGTGGGTAATGGATGACCATAGCCTATGTCCCTTATACAACTGAGAAAGCAGCCCCATCTGTGGGCGAGAAATCTGTCAGGGAGATCAAGCATCGGCCCAGAAACGCTTACCTTGATCTCTGGCCAGCGGCCCACACCCAGTCCCGTTTCATCAGGTTCCAGCCTGGGTGACCTCACAGCCCCAGCCACACCCTGCAGAGCCTCAGGAAGGCACACTGACCTCAGGGCCGGTGGCCGACTTCATTTCTGTTTGGGGATGAGAGACAGCACAGCGAATTGTCCAGGCCAGAAAACTGATGGATTCACGCGAACCATAATGAACGTGGGCCATGTGCCGGGGAAGGCAGGCTGGCCTCCTGCCTGCAGGGGCCACTGGGGTGAAAACAACCCTGAAATGTCCAAAGCCTTGATGGGGAAGCACAGGGGAGGGATGGATTTTTGTTTTAAAGCAGCCCTCTGGTTTGCTAGAAGTGGGAGACTCAACTGATCTTTGCGGTAGCCAATGCCTTTCTTCTGTGAAGACCAACTCACAGCCTTCAGATCAGATGACACAAAGCCCTATGGCAGAGCTGGAACTGCTAGAATGCTGGGGGGCCTGAAACCAGTGAGGGCATTGTGGGGGCCTGGAATCAACCAGGAGGCTCAAGTGGGGGCTGGAACTGGCCAGGGTGCGCAGAGGAGGCTGCGAGGGCAGGGGGTGGCCGCTGCGTGGACCCGCGTAGAAGCCGGTGCTTGAGGAAAGGTGGGTTAGCTGAGGGACGGAGTAAGGGGTGGATGGAGAATGTGTCCATCTGGACACTGGGACTGTTTGAGCCCCTGAGATTTCAGAACCGTGGGCCAGAAAATGGTCAGGGATCTTGGCGATGCGGCAGGGCGCCTCTGGGGAACTCACTCTCCCTTGATTTGAGGGTGATAGGGATGGAAGCGGAGCTGGGGGCTGAGGGAGGCAATGAAAATGGGTGATTTTTCCACAGTGTCTAAAAGATAAGATGCTGACCTGTCAGGCTGAGAATGTCATGAGAAAACTTTGGAGGAAGCAACAGAAAATGAGCCTGAGGAGCTCGGACAGAGTCAGGGCCTTCCGTGTAATGTCTGTTTCCTCATTCCCCTGCAGCCAAGAGCTCAGCCCCAACATGCATGCTCATGCGCAAATGCACATACACACATGCATGCTCACACATGCACTCACACACACACACATGCACCCACACTCACACTTCCATGCACACATAGGTATGCACATACATACACATGTACCACACACACACATGCACCCGCACTCACACATCCATGCATGCACGTGTACACACACCCCCACATGCACATGCATATGCACCCACACACATCCATGCACACATGGGCACACACACACACACACGCGTCCACACTTACACATTCATGCACACATGGATAACATACATACACATGCACCCACACACACATGTCCATCCACACATGTACACACATGCACATGCATCTACATGCATGCTCACATGCATGCACCCACACTCACATCCATGGATGCACTGTATCCACCCACATATACACATGTACCCACACATGTACACAGATGTACCTCCATCCCCACACATAAACACACACACATGCACCCGCACATGGATACACGTATGCCCACACCTGTGTACACACATACACACATGCATGTTCACACACATGCACTCATCCACACAAATCCACATTCACGCATATGCTTACACCCATGCATCCACACACTGCACGTATGTATATATACATACATGCACGCACACCCACACACATGTACCCACGCCCATGCACACATGTTCATGTGCATACCCCCACTCACATGTAGACACATATGCTCACACATGCACACATGTGCACACACATGCTGTCTCACACACGCCTACTCTTGCTCAGGCTTAGTTTCTGTGGGTTTGAGAAGTGAACTGCACCTTCCAAAAAATGAGCGAGGTATTCAGTTAAACAACCAATTCTTGAGCAGTGAATATGTGGACTTTAGAAATTCTAAGTATACAGCTTTGCGCAGTGGCGGTATCGTAGCCAATGAGGTTTAGCTGAGGCGCAATTATTGCTAATTGAAAACTTTTCCCAATACCTTGCCATGACAACTAGAAATATAGTTGGCTTTGGCAATTTTTGGCAGTCTTTACAGAGACTGAATCATAAAAGAAAAAAAAAAAAGAAATTCTAAGTATAAGGTGACAATAACGTTGTACTGCTACTTTTAAAGCTAACAAACATATGAGAACTTATATTCCATTCAAATGAAGAAAGTAGGAACTGGGTGTATCACGTGTTTATGTCAAAGATTCTCCGATTGCTCCAAATTGTTAGGGATCATCTTTAGAGTCTTTGCATAGCTTCAGTTGTGGAAAATTTTACCCTCTAAGAATATAACTGAATTTTAGACAAAATCATGAGTCCATTATAGCTTCTGCGGCATGCAAGTTGGGATTAAACAGATTAAAATATCTTGTATGAGAAAATTTAAAAGGCCCGCCTGAGCAACATAGTGAGACCTCACCTACAAAAAGTTAGCTGGGCACGGTGGCGTGCGCCTGTGGTTCCAGCCACTCAGGATGCTGAGGCAGGAGGATGGGGGGCAAGACCGCAGTGGGCTGTGATTGCGCCACTGCACTCCAGCCTGGGTGACAGAGCAAGAGCCCATCTCAAAAAAAAAAAAGAAAGAAAAAAAGTGAAGCAAGGAGACTAATTTTTGACATGCCGTTGAGCATGGCTTTTAAGACCAGTGTCGAAAGAGGAATTCCAACATTATTCTTTTTTTTTTTTTTT